AAAAACACCCTCATGAGGAAGAAACCTTTAGCAGAACCAGACTCAGGACAAGCGGCCGTCTGCTTCGACTGGCTGGGTTTGGTAGGAACAGATACACAATGGCAGGTCAAGGATCACATGTTAAGATAGAAATAATATCAAATGAAAACTATTCAATTTTAACAATTCATCTACGGAAATGAGGTCATTTTGTCCTCTAGTAGTCTAAGCCTATAGCAGCATAACAAGCCAACCCTAACTATAGGATTTATCAAAAAGGAAAGTATTAATCCCAGTCTTTAAACTGGACAATGTGTCAAACTCACAGACAGAAACTGGAAGTTGGTTCCACAAGAGAGGAGCCTGATAACTGGAAGATCTTCCTCCCATTCCGCTTCTGGAAACTCTAGGGACAACGAGTAAGCCTGCATGCTAAAGATTATGTTCCAGAGACCCCCGCGGCAGGTGAAAATCTGTAGCAGCGTTATATTTATTTAATTATTTATATATAATTGAAGTCTTCATTAACCCTTCCCACACCCCAACCTTTTCCCTGCCTCTTAATAACGCTTCCCACTCTTTTATAAACGCTTCATGTGCTCTAATACACTTTGGCGATGATGATGATGAGGTGTGTGTACAGTACTGCACAACATGTACTGTACACACAATATATAAAAAAGAAACTGGGTTTAAAAAACCAGCTGTACAGTGGAGCTGCAAGAAGTGAACCGCGCTGTGGAGAGGGACGACTGTTTCTTCTAAACCAGTGAAGGGATTTGAACCAACCTCCCAGAGAGCAATCACTGCACGTGCACCTAGCTCTAGAATTTCTAGATCTGCTGCTGTGTTTTGACACGTTTTAATGGCACGTCATGAGAACGCTGGGGAGCAGGGTCAGAGAGGAGATTTAATAAATGCTGACTTTCTCCACACATCCTTGATGATGGGCATCACAGTTGGACAAATATCAGACTTTTCACCTGGAGATAAGGTGAGGATGTGACACGCCGCTCATTCTGTACTGGTTCCTTACACACATGTGACAACTTTTGACAACTTCTATAAAAGTTCAGAGTATCTGTACTAGTGCCTGCTCTCCTTTCCACCCCATGAAGCTGTGGATGGAGCGTCTCTCCTCATGCACTCCATAAAGCGTTGGACAGACTACCTGGAGCACCAGCTGTCGGAGCTGCAGGGGTTACTAAAGAGGATGCACTGGGAGGAGGAAGACCCAGGAGAGGATGACGGGAGCGCCACAGCCAAACACACGGATAAGCTCATTGTGCAGCAGGTCTTCAAGGAGTTCCCACACATCTGGCAGAATTAAGCAT